GACGTAAGTTTTACACTTTTTTATTATTAAACTTACAATTGACACGTGTAAAATTTTTTTATATTTTCCGGATGTAGATGTTGAAAACATTTGTCGAAAGCATTTTTTGTTGAAATTAGACTGTTTTATATACATCGTATCGCCATGATAACACATGTAAGCTTCTACTTTTTTATTATAAAGCATATGAAAGTAAAAACTGCATAAAAGTTAAAAACCTTAATATTAATCTAGTATATATATAATATAATAAACATCTCGACTTCTTTGTACGTATGCTTTAGGCTATTAATAGATTACTTTGTACGTATGGTGCAAGTCACTTAGTCCAATCAAAAATGCAATAAAAATTTTACAGTCACATGATTTTTATTAAATAAATTTGATTTTTTCATACATCGTTCATGTTTCCTCTCGATCGCGTATCTTAATTTGGCCGCGTTTACGATCATTTAATTGAAATTCGTTATGTTAAGGTTATTTTGATTATATCGAGAGATATGGTCAAGAGAAGAGAAGAGTTAGGAAGAGAGTTATTCTTCAACCAAGTCGAAAACCAACCCTTTAAATAAATTTTCGAGTAGTACAATTTTTAATTTATTAAACTGTTTCAATGGTTCGTCGCGTGGTTGCTTCCAACTTCTTAAATTCGTTAACGAAATGATTGTTGGTGAGGCGATTGTTGACAAAATGAATCAAACCCATATTAATATTTATATATTTCTACATTATCAAATTCACGATTTTGATTGGTCAATCACCAAATTGCATGGGTTAAAATTTTGTGTTCCCAGGACGGTCTCTCCTGTTCACTTGCACATCCTCGATTACAAAACTTGTTAATATTAAGATAGTAATCATTCATGGGAATTGTTATTCGCACCCCTCCCATGACTAAGTGTAGTAATGTGACCAATGAATGCCTTTAAAATGTGATGATTTTATTGGTTCATCTTTGTCTTAGTCACGGGAGGGGTGCGAATAACAATAATGTAATAATATTATTGTGCATCGTATCACGTGATGGTTTCATAATATCTTGGTTTTGCGGATATCTCTATTTAGCGGATAATTTTTTTGGAACAAACATATCCACTAAATCAAGTTATACTGTGTAATAGTTAATATATTGATTTGAATATAATATAATTAAAGGAACCACATTTGCTTACCATATTACCCATGTTTTCATTTTTTACTGATAAATCCCTAAAAGCAATACTGAATATGATGCCAAGACTTCACAAATATATAAACCCTCATTTCTTATCATCATATTTAAAATATTAGACCTATATTTTGGTGAAAACCAAACTTGACACCTAATGTCATGTTAATCCCTTGCTTTTCAATATCCAACACATCCAGTTAAAACACAGAGTTATTAAATGCTTCCAATATTTGTTTTCTAATTTTTCTGGGCCATTCATCAAATGGAAGGCCATATGTTGCTGGTAGGGATCCTTCTGCCCCTGTACTTGTCTCTTGAATAAAATCTCCACAAGCCTGTAATACCACATCATTATTAGGTATAGGATAATTTTTCTTGATGTTCCATTCAAAACATTACAAAGAGATTCTGGTATACTGGAGATAAGGCTCCAAACAAATCAAATCGATTTGTAGTCGATTCGATTCGAATTCAAAAAAACAGGATTTGATTTGATTTGATTTGATTTGATTTGTGACTCGATTTGAATTGATTCCAATCAAACTGGATTCCTAAATTTTTTTAACATCATATTAAATTTATATTTTTAATTTGATAATTTAAATTTATATTACACAATGAATCTCAACTAGTGTGCCTCCATTTAATGAATACTAATGGATTGAGGTCTAAGAATGGTTTAATGATAATAAAATACTTTTTGATATGATATTTATTCGAATTTTTAATAATAACAGATTTCTTGATATTAATATTAATATTAATGGTCGTGTGGCCTATATTATTAATAATGAGTAAAAAGTAACAATATACAGTTGTACAATTCATTAAATCTAAAATAATAAGTACTAATATTACTGGTGCTTCTTCAACTTCAACTTCTTCAACAAGAGATGCAATTATTGCTCCAGGTAAAAAATTTTTTTTTG